CAATTACACGCTGAAAGCACACATGCTGCAAAGACTCTGATTCAGCAAACTCTAATGTACATCAGAAGACTCTGACTGATCTAGACTCTGATGATATTTGCTGAAACTTGTTGAAGAAGAATTCAATGTTATGTCCGTTGGAATGGCTAAACGACTCTTTCCTCATTTATGCTAGACACAAGAACACAGACAAAAAGGATTTTTCTGTGCATTCTACTTTTAGGAAAAGTCATGTGATGTGAAGACAAATAGGCTCAGACCTTTTAGTACACAGCCTTCAACGTGATAACTACTTGGACATCTTTGCCTATAAAAGGAAGACTTCATCTCTCTTCTTCAGTTGACGAAATTAATTGAAAGAATTCATTACAAGCTCTCATACAATTTATTCTCATTAGCTGAATTTATTTCTAAGTTCTTAAATCTTAAGTGTAAAATCACAGTTGTGATAAAGCTTAATTAGAAGCATTTAAACACTTGTATTATTCTTACATTTGATTGTAAAAGATCCTTAAGAAGATCCAGTTGAGATCAGTAGTTCTTAAGAAGACTAAGAACAGTTGCTCTTAGTGCTTGCTATTGTAATCAATTGATTTAATAGTGGATTAAGTCCTTGTTGAGAAAGGCAAATCACTCTTGATAGGGTGGACTAGAGTAGTTGAGTTCAACGAACCAGGATAAAAATCCTTGAGTTTTTATTGCTATAAGTTTTTCTACATACTTATTCAACCCCTCCCCCCCTTCCCCCTCCTTTCTAAGTATTTTCTCACTTTCAATATCCTATTTTGAAAACCTTTTCACATTAGCCGTTCTCTTCAAGAGAATAAAACAATAGTATCCCCTTTATCAATTTGTCTTTAATGGTTTTGATTAGAGGTGGCAAAACGGATCGCACGCCCCACCTTACCCTACCTTAAACCCGCCAAAAAAGAGATGGGACGGACAAACCCGCCAAATAGAATTGGGCTTAAAAATCTAGTTTGTGCTGCCAAGGTGGCAAGTTGGCGAGTGGTGGACTTATCCGCCTATTATTTTTTTATTTTTTGAATAGATTAATAGGGTTATTTTTATATTTAAATTAATTTTTTCGCTTATATTTTATAACAATTTTTTTATAAAGCATCTTTTAAAACAAATTTTACTTAAGAATATTACATATATTCACCAATAAATATATAAAATAGAATCATCAACAACTATTCTAAAACTATAATTTAAGTATTAAAATTCAATCAACCAAAATAAATATTTTGAGTGCTTATAACTAGGTCGGCGGACTAACTCGCATGTTTTTTTGACGTACAACTCACCCCTTTTTTAAGTGGACTTAAGACGAAAAAGATTTAAATCGGAATAGACTGAACGGGTAGATGACAGATACGCAAGCCGGCCCTTCGGATCACGCCCTATCTTACCACCCGTTGTTTTGATCCAATAATTCAAATATTTTAACGAATTATTTTCTATTGAATTTGTTTGCCAAAACAACAAAATATTATTTTAAACGAAAAAAATAGAATGTGCATTAATAATATAAATTAATTTTATATTATTAATTTGTGATCATCTGAATTAGAAAATAATTTTTAATTTAATAATTTTTAATTTAATAATAAAATTTGTATTGTGAAAGAAAACATAATACAATTCAATTTGTTTTAACCTCCGAGCTACTATTGCAAATTTTAAGATGTAAACTGATGGTAAATTTATTGGAAAATACAATAATAGAGGAGTTAGAAAATTAGTGTAATAATTAATATGAAAAAAATTAATTTGTGTTTTTAAAAATTACAGGTTAAAGTAATGAAAATAAAAAATAGTGTACAGTTATTTATTTTTTAATATATATCATATAAGTAACTTTTAAAATTTTAACGTCTTAACAAAACCTTAACTTTTAAATTAATGTATAATAAGTGATACATGAATTTTTTGTTTTTTTAAGTTTAAAATCATATGAAATTACTATTTTTGTTATAATTATATTTCTGGTTAAAAAAATTTACCATGAAAACAGAAACGTGTACGTTCCAAATTCGTTCTTACCCATACAGCGAAGTTTCCCATTCCCTCCATCTCCCTATATAAATACAATTTTCCCCTTTCGAAACAGATCGCTTTTCAACGCGTATCTCTTAATCCAACTTCGCTTGTTGATTTCAACACCGAAAAACAGAAAATCAAAATTCATATGGATTAATTCTCTTTCATCTCAGATTTCTTCACTTTCTCTAACCTCAGATCTATTTCGTATGTTCTTCGATCTTCGATCGGTTCCGATCGAACAAAGGATTTTTTATTTTTCTTCTCTGGCTTCTTTTGTTAAAATTAGGGTTTCGACGTGCAAGAAATGATGTATTCGGTGCCCGTTGGACTCTTCTTTTTACGTCATTTGGTTCTATTTCACGGTGGATCTTCTTTTCATCGTCGTAAGCATCTTTCAAAAAGTGATAGGCGTGGTAATCTTAGTTAACCCTACGCTTTTTATTTCTGCAATTCGTTTTCTCGAATTTTTCAATCTCTTTTTCGGAATATTTCTTTTGGTTTTGTTCGTTTCGATTCGTGGTTTCTTCGATCGTGTGTGGTTTCGAGGAAATTCGTTGACGTATTAGAGGCTTTTGGCATTGAGGTGACTTCGAAGACCGTGGAAGCTTCTGTTTAGAGTTTTGCTATTTGAATTGAATCTACAAATATCGTCGTTTAAGGTGATTTATATTATTTTATTATGCTTTACATGATGGTTATGATTTATCTATATCGTGTAGTGATATATGAATGTCAAGTTAGAATTTCGTGAAATTCAAAAATGTTTTGTAGTTTTTTCTTTATGTAGCTTCAACTCTATTAAAAAATATGGTGTTGTAAGCTAGAGTAATGATATGAATAGATTAGAGGTATCTAATTTACAATTAGAATGATAGTGTAGTTTTTATGTGTGTGAACAGTGTAGAGTGGTTCGTCCCATCAGCAATCACCATGAAGATAGTGCTTCTATCAATTTCATCACTAGTGTTACGCTCTCTTGTTTATTGTTATTGTTATAGGTTACATGACCACCATGTTATTGATCGCAGGCTTTCTATTCATCATAAACTCTACGAGTTGGCTTCCTTTGTCTATGCAATTATGCTGATCGGTTTCTTTTGTCAGTACTTTGATTATCATTATATGTCGATGCATGAAAAAGACTGATATGATATACTTCCAATCATGAATCGCAACACACCTATGTGTGGATTGTTTTATTTGTTACTTGTTGATGTTTTATTAAGAAATTTAGTTGATGTTTTTACTATTCATCTGGCATTTTGTTTTAATCTGTGGCTTGTGTTGCATGTGTTGCAGAGTGGTCCTATACATTTGATGGACATCCACTCTCTTGTTAATGCTGTGGATGATGTCATCATAAGTAAACTTGGAAGTACTTTTGCTACGTCCTTACATATGCTAGATGATCAGAAGTTAGAACATGTATCTGATGGGGATGACATTGGTGACTGTCATGTTGGGGAGGGGCGTGAATTTGATGGTTTTGAACAACAAGAAACCACACTAAAATTGATGAGCTTGAAGGAATATCCAACATTTCCTTATCCTGATATGGTGTTGCCTTCAAGCTCTTCTGATGATGAGGAGGCTGATACACCACCACTGACAAAATCACCCTCTAACCAATCTCTGCAACAAAGTTACCCGTGCTCGGCATCTCAGCCAGTAAGTTTTAAATGCTAGAATTTTTTGTTGTTATTGTGTTCCTAAAAGAATCCGGGCTAGAATGCAAGTTAATAAATTCGAGCTAGTTCTAGTATGCAAGTTAAAGGTTGTTTTGATTTTAACGAGTAGATGCCTAGATGGAGAAAATTGCTCCAAAGGGATGGGAAGTAGTTTGCTTGTTACATGTAGTTTTGAGCAGGCATAATTTGTATGTATTTTTCTTTGCATTTGCCATCCTTAGCTTATTGGTTTTTGTTTTCTCTGTATGCACCACAGGCATCTCCAAAACTTGTATCTGCAATGAAGGGTAGCCGTGGCAAACATGGGGGGTCAGAAATGAAATTATCTGTTAAATGGGCCCATGATGTGTATGATCCGATACCAACATTATCATCACATACTGTGAGAGTCAAGAAACAGCCTAAATCTAGGATCAAGAAGAGTGAAAAGAAATATGTAAAGAAAGGTCATAAGGGTAGTAGCTACTCTAAAGGGGGTAGCGGCAAAGATAAGAAGCAGCACTATCGCTATAGCTGGCCAGAATCTTGTGGCAAAGGATTTGATGCTTCAAAGGAATTAAATAATCTTGATGTTGTTGGCCATGATTCATACCATGAAATTAGCAACTCAAAAATACCATCTACAGAAAAGCCTTGTCATGTTGGAGAAGCATTTAGTAACATCCTTGATTTTGTCTCCTATATCAAGAGTGCATAAATAAACTAATTTGATTTCGTATTCTCTATGTGATTGCATAAATAATGTGTCCTATTAGGTTATGTGAAGAAGAGTTTATAATTTCACGGTTAAAACTATCATATACAATGCCATTTCCTGTGCAAAGCGGCCTGTGTAATACTATATTCTTTGTGTCTAATGTGTGGCAACTCTTGTTTGATGATAGTATATCATTTCTAATAGTAAACAGTGTTTGATATTTAAATCTTTAGATAAAAGGGTTGATATTTACATCTATTATTTGATGTGCTGCTGTCTGGTAAAATTTGATCGCTACGAGTGCAAGCGAGAATCAACATGCTTTTAGTGGTCACCGGGAATGCCATCTGGGGCACGTGTAAGCATTAATTATGTGCTGAACACAGTAAGAAAACATGTATGAAATGGTGCTTCAGTAGAAAACAGTGCACTTGAAAACTTTTTATTAATTCCCTTAATGAGGTGATTTCAGTATAACTTACATAATTCTGGTTTTACATAATGAGGTGATAAACGGAAAAAATAAAATAGTGCACAATCAATATTATGCCAGAACATTCATTTGGCTATGATGTGTACTCGGCATTAATTTTGACATAATCGTAGCTTAAATCACAGCCCCATGCTTGTCCATGTCCTGGTCCATTGCCTGTATGTAGGAAAAAAACAGATGCTAAATCAAATACTAGTAAACAAGGTAATTCTAGGGGGACAATAGAAACTCAAACCACAGGCTTATAAACTCTAAACGGTGTCTAAAAGGGGAGAAAACCAATGAACTGTGTTAGACTTACCAACAGATATCTGAATTCGGACTGTACCGTGAGTCTCCCCAGCCTTTCTCATATAACTACTAGCCGCTCCCCTGCCAGTCACAAATTTTATAATAAGGATAAAAGAACAATAACATTAGGGATGAACTGAAAAAACATGTTAAAAGTTTTATAAGCTACTTTTCAAGCGCACAATACAGGATTCTCATAAGACTTGCATAAACTTTCTCATAAGAATGCACCATATATTTACACGATTACAATTTTAAGTAATGACTAATAATTTGATAAAACAGTTGATGTTTAATCAAAACACTTTCCTTGAAGCAATTTATCTTGCCCCCAGATTCTTTATTCTCATTTCTACACCTTACTGTATTGATTCTTTGATATCTAATGAAAATGCTATAGGTCAAAGAAACTTAACAGTTTCCTAACTGCATTATTAGTAAACGAGGTGCTAGTAATGGTAAAGTGACACCGTTCCATAGCATCGGAAGTTGTATATTTACTGACTGGCATTTAAGGTAAGTATTTTGTTAGTGATTAGGCTTGTTAAATTTGCTAAGAAAAATTAAGAGTAGATAAAAAAACATGAGATTTACTAGTTTAATATATGCATACAAAATAACCAAAAACAATAAAAACTCTTACCTGTCAAATGATTTTGGCTCCCCACCATCCATTAGTAAAATATCCCCCAGTTCCACCCTAAGTACGTTTTGGTTGAAAGAAACACCCGAGTAACCAGCTGCTGCGGCAATACGTCCCCAATTGGGGTCCCTACCATATATAGCAGCCTGATGATCATTATGTTAGAAGATAGGACTTAGTCACATTCAACAACAACAACCAAGCCTTATCCCAAACAAAAAAAAATTATTTAGTTTAACTATCATGCCTTTACAAGTGAAGATGATGCAACTGAACGGGCAACTTTTGCAGCTTCAGCCTCACTATTTGCACCAGTCACAATGACCTACAAAGAGAAGATGGAACTTGGTTATAAAATACAATATAAAGCAGAACCGGGCCCACACTTTCACTAATCAACATTAACAAAACTTCAAAACCCAGCTAAACAGCAACTTAATAGTAAAGGAATACACGTAATATGACTGTCACTGGGATTTGTCTGCAATGACTTTTCTATCACATAAGAGAATGAGAGAACAAAAAATAGTTAAAATGGAAATGCAGTGAAGATGAGGGACAGAGGAGAAAATAAAAATAAAAGAGGGAGAAAAATGAGCTATATATTATTGAAAATTAATTTGATTTAACATATGCAATTAAACCCACCTAGTATTTATAATGATTAATTAACAAAAATCTGAATAGATGAGGAACATTTGATAGAAGTGCAAGATGAAAACAATATGTAGTTGTCTTTTAGATATTTCAGTCATGATTCATGGCGAGGAGTGTGGAGGATTACTATTGCAAGTATAAAAGAACAAACCTCAATGAGGCATGTTGCTCCCTCTCCATCCCAAGCTATAGATTTGGCAAGACCTTGCATTACCTGGAAAGAACAAGTCAAAATTTCACATTTATTGAAAGAAGAGCACTTCTGGACGATAAATTTCACGTCTCAAGGAAATCACAGGACAAGATCTAAGGATAGAGAAGATGACAAAGAAAATCTTAAGCATCTTTTATTTACTTCGTTGCAAAGAAGGGAAGAGTTAAGCATGAAAAGATATCATATTCAATTATAACATTCAAAATGCAACCAATTCTACATACTAACCACAAAAACATACCTTAATAAACACACACCAGTAGGGTGCAGGGGAGGTGCTTATAATGTTTATTTTATATTTTTTCTAACCCACTGTATGAGGTACTTCATTATTAAATAAAAAAAAGCAGTGGGGATTATGCATGTCACCCCCTGCACATTACAAAATACATTCAATCCAAATGGGACTATAACACAACGGTATATCATAGTACTTTTTTTTTTCTTTCTTTCTAGTTTTACATTATTATATAAGGTCAAGCTTACCGCGTCTAGGCATGCCTGAAGTTGAATTGCCTCATCACTTTCTAGAGAAGAAATGTGGCTTAGCCCAGACAACCCACTAGCCAAAGCAATAACAGTATCATTAGTACTTGTATCTCCATCTACCTGAAGCAAGATGTAAGAATCAATCATTATCTAAAATATAACGAGCAAAATCTTTTTGATGAAGAGAAAAGGGCATCACTTTGCACAAATTTTTTAAATACTTTTTTGACATACCTATAATTTCAATTGTGAAACTACCACATCATGTTTTTGCACTTTATTTCAAAGAGAAGACAAAAAATAAATTATGTTTAAATGATTGTTATAGCACCACTACGTTGCTATCAGAATTTGCAGTCTCCAGAAAAGAGTGAAAATCACATACAGTTATCTGATTGAAGCTTCGATTAACAGCAATCCGGACCATCTTTCTCCAAACATCACTAGTTACCCCGGCATCAGTTGTTACTACCTAGGCTCAATGAATTTACGTAGACTCAGCTCAAGGAATGGACTTGAAAATTCATATATTAGAAACATGAAAGCATCAAGTAAGACATACCCCAAGCATGGTAGCCATATTTGGGTGGATCATTCCAGAACCTTTTGCCATTCCCCCAACTCTGACCTTAGTTCTTCCAACCTAACCAATACCGAACAATAATAGGAGTTAGACAATCTCACTTTTATTCCTACCCCTCGAAATTAGAAATATAGAAAGTGAAAAAGAACCAGACATAAGATGCTTATTTAATTCCCAAAACTTTGGAAGCTACCATACATATCAAGATTATTTATATGCCAATTGATTCAACTATCCTCCCTCGCCTTTTATTTTATAAACATCGATGAGCTATGCAGAGCGTATGAACTGAAGCCTCCAATTACGACTTGAAGTGAAGTGGGACCATTGCATAAATGATAAAATTCTCTAAGATAATCAAGTTGTTGATTAGTGTTTCCATGTGTGACATAATCACTGTGTTACTGTGACTGTTCATATCAACGAACCTTACAAGTAAACTATCCGACAACATAGTATTTTATTAGTTATCCACGTGACTAAATCTAACCATGCATACAGGCTGTGTTCTTGTGTATGTCTGTTTCTTCACAAACCAGATAAATATGAATTAGTTGCATTGCATGAACATGAAGAGAGCAAGTTGAGTAGGATCGAGCAATACCAAAGACTCGATTGCCACACTCTTGCTAACAAGATCTGTTGTGGTCATTGCCACTGCTGCAGAATCTGCCCTGTACGGAATCAAATAACCTTTAAAGAAGAAGTGAATAACGAACAAAAGATTGAAAAGAATGAACAAATAAGTTTTGGTACGAGCTTAACGTTTTCAATAAATAAGAAACTAAAATGGTGAAAATAAGGCTTAGAAAAAGCTCTGTGAATACAATGGCCATTGAATAACCACAAAAAAATATTTTCTTCATATGATTGTGGGCTTGTTTGTTTTAGAATTTCTGAATAACATTTTTTATGTTTTAGTTATGTTTGTATGTAAGCTTGTCTCAGAAATCATCTTGTTAAAAAATAATTTTAATGTTGAAAATGAAATAGCTATTTTGATTAGCTTTTGAAGAAAATCATTTTTAATATAAAAGAAACTTAAATGCTTTTCTAACCATGGTATATCAAAAATGATTTTTTAAAAATCTAAAACAAATGGGTCTGTATATCATATCACTTATAAAATGAAAGTTGGTTTTTAAATGCAGAAATTACCCCTCATCTGAAGAAGTTAGTGAATTCACTAGTAAGGGAAGTGAATTTAAAAGTGCCCCCTGAAAGCGAAATGGCAGTTCAAAATCTTGTGAATATTTCAGAATGTGATCATCGAGGACACAAGCACATAGGATATAAACCCAATGAACAGAATCTTGGCATTACCTTCTTTATTCTTTCACCAATTACACCAGTGGATTCAACTAATATTTCTTCGGGCTTCAGTCCCAGTAGCTGAAATTACAAACACTTTAGTAAATATTGCACAATCACTTTCAACATAAAGCACTGTAAGTAAGATCAGTTAAACACAGTAAGTGAATGCATACCTTTGCAAGGCTTTCAACGCATTCTATTGTATCACGGTAACCTGCTTCACCCTGGATACATGAAAGGATTCAACCACTAAAATATTTATTTAATTTCTCACTTGTACAAAAACATGTTAAATGACTAAGGTGTTGTAAGACATTCATCAAACTGAAGTATCTATATGCCGACCGTTATTCATTTATTCAATGCCCACACACATGAAATAAAAAGATATTTGGTGGCCTACCGTAGCGGCATTTGCTTGACCTGCATTAGTTAACACAGCACGTGCCTGAAAATTTGATAAAATTGATGTATCAGCGGGCAATCAAGCAATATATTATTCAAAAGTGCAGCTGCCAAGACATATTAAGCTATTGGAGTGGAATCTTGGTTGCAGAAAGAGCAAGCATCCATTTCCTAATACAAAAAGCACTTAAATAAACAGAAAGAGTGGATCGAATGGAATGTAAGGAATATTATACAATGTGAGTGTTTAATGCTTATCAAGGAAACATAGCAGAAATTAGAAAAAGATGGTTACTGAAAAGGTCCACATGCTCTCAATGATACTTAAAAGCAACAAACACGGAACACGCTTACAGTGTTTGAAACGTCCAGCGTCCTTTTGCAGTATAATACCGGAGCAGCAGCAACCACATTAGTTGTGAATGACCCTGAAAGAAATCCGGTAACATAAAATGCATGCTAAACCCAAAATTAGAACTGTGATAATCATGAAAATGAGAAAGCTAACCTGCAGATATGGCATCAACATCGCACGTGACGAGTGCCAGATCAGGCTTTTCTCCTGCGGCACGCAATCCTCCATATATTCCCGCAGCTTTGAACCCCTCCGCAGCAGTAACTCCGCCGGGAATCTGAAAAACTCAAAATTCGACATTCAGACACTAATAAAAAGCACAACAATGTACACAAGGTAAGTTTTAAGAGAAAATACTTGAAAGAAACTCAATATAGTAACAGAAGAATTACCTGCTTCCAAGGTCCTTCCGGAAGGAAAATCGGAGCTGCGGGAATGTATCGAGAGGCCTGATTCTCTGTAGATGTTACAGCGCGAATTCTTAAATCGCGCGAAGCGAATATCTGTAAGGGAGTATAAAATGAGAAGATTGTGAGGAAACATGGATTGATGGAAGAATGAGAGAAAGAGTTGAAAAATACCTTAGAATTTGGGGAAGTTGTTGAGAAGTGGAAATGGAGAGAAATGTGTTGAGGAATACAGGAATACATTTGTGTTAGATGTGAATGTGTTTTAGGGTTTGGAATTGAAATACATAGTGATGACAAGTGAAGTGAAGTTCGTTCGTTTGTGGGTTGCGTTTTAAGTGTTTAAGACAGTCACTCTCAGCTTTCAAGTTTCGCTTATACTCCGGGTTTAAAATTTGATCCAAATAATTTTTATAAAAATTGTATCTAAACGCATTCAATAATATTCAATTTTATGTGATTTAAAAGAAATACATCCATTCAATAATATTTAATGAAGACTAATGAAAAATTAATGCTCTAAAAATACGTATTTTTATGCATATTAAAAGTTTCAGTGTTTTAATGCAAATGCAAATTAAACTGTGATGTAGATAAAAGTCATAATCCAGCTGAATCAAATAAGTAATGAGCATGTGGATATATAGATATGTTATGCATACAAGACAAACACAACATCACACATAATATAATGGATAAAAGATCACAACCATATAACGTGTCAAACAATAACCAATATGATAAAATTAAGTATAATAAATAAGATAAAAGGATAATAGAATGATCATACAAATACAAATATGTAATTTGTTGTAAAGATAAAATTAGTAAATATTATTAAAAATTAAAAAACAAAAGTACAATGCCATCAAAATATGATAAGATTATTTTTTTTCACTTGTCTTGAGAATTCATTAAGATTTTAAGACTTTCTTGTATCAAATATCAATGAATATAAATAAGTACTCAATTGGAGTCGGGTCCTCGAGAGTTATTACTAGGGTCTTTAGGGATAAAAATTATAACATAATTTGGAATTTTTATGTTCCTTATATGATATATTGAGATTGTGATGAAATTATTCAAAATTACACGAAATAGGTATGTCATGGTAAAGCGACAAAAAAGAGACTTTTGTCACATACACTTGAAGATGATAAAATTGTGAGTGATATTCTAGAAGACATCATTTGTGATATTAGAGTTGATATTTTCAAGAATGCTAATGTGGTAGATACTTTGCAAAGAGACATGGAAGATTCATTGTATCCGGGATGTAAAAAATTTACAAAATTGTCAGTTGTGTTAAGACTATTTGATCTTAAGGCAAGAGGTGGGTGGACGAATAAAAGTTTCACTGAATTGCTTGAATTGTTAAGAGAAATGCTTCCCGAAGGTAACACGCTGCCAAGTCGTACTTAAAAGGCCAAGAAGATATTATGTCCAATGAATTTGGACTATGTTAAAATACATGGATGTCATAATGATTGCATATTATATAGGAAAGATTTTAAAAACTTGAAGGAGTGCCCGAGGTGCGAGAAGTCATGCTACAAGCAGAAGGACAATGGTGTTGATGACGATGATGGTGTAACTAGCAATGGTGTTCCTTACAAGGTGACGTGGTACCTCCTGATAATTCCAAGGTTCAAGACATTGTTTTATAGTGTTTGTGACACAAAGAATTGATTCATTGCAGTGGGAGAAAATTGATTTCTCATATCCAGATTTTCCCCTTGAACCGAGGAACCTTAGGCTTGGACTTGTCACCGAAGGAATGAACCCTTTTGGTAATTTGATTACTAACCATACGTCACAGCCTATTTTTCTTATACTTTACAACCTATCTCCATGGTTGTGTATGAAGTGCAAATATATGATGTTATTGATGATGATTTCGGGTCCAAAACAACCAGGAAATGACATTGATATTTATTTAACGCCATTGATTGAAGATTTAAGATTTTTGTGGGAGGAAGGTGTTGATGTTGATGATGCATATACGAGTGATAACTTTAAGTTGCGTGCCATGTTGTTTTTCACAATTAATGACTTTCCCGCATACGGTAATTTGTCTGAATACAACATCAAGGGACATAAAGTGTGTCATATATGTGAAGTTGATACATGTCACCACCAATTACAAAATGGAAAAAGACATTTTATCTTGGGCATAGAAAATTTCTAATACCTAATCATTCATATCGTATATTGCAAAAGGCTTTTAATAGAGATAATGAGTTTGATATTGCTCCAAAGTCATTAATTGGGAAGGAAGTTTATAGAAAGCAACAACACATTAAGGTTGTCTTTGGAAAGAAACAAAAAAAGTTCGTGGAGAAAAATATTTGGAAAAAGAGGTCGGTATTCTTTGATCTTCCATACTGGTCTAGTCTTGATGTAAGCCACTGTCTTGATGTGATGCATGTAGAGAGAAATGTATCTGATGGTCTGATTGGAACACTTCTCAATATAAAAGGCAAGACAAAAGATACTAAAAAATCCTACGAAGATATGATTGTGATGGGTATACGGTAAGAGTTAGCCCCAAAAGAAGTAGGAAATAAAACTTATTTGCCCCCCAGCATGTCATACTCTTTCTAAAAAAGAAAAAAAAAGTTTTTGCTACTATTTGCAGGATACTAAAGTTCCCCAATGGTACTCATCAAATGTGAAGAAACTTATGTCGGAGAACGATCACAAATTAGTTGGCTTGAAATCTCAGGATTATCATGTCTTGGTGCAAAAACTTCTACCAGTGGCTATTCGTGGCATTTTATCAACAAATGTAAGGTTAACTATAACCAAATTGTGGTTATTTTTTAATGATATATGTAGTAAAGTGATTGATCCTGGAAATTTAGATGACTTGTAACACGAAGATGCAGTTATCTTGTGCCAATTAGAGATGTTCATCTAGTAAGAAAGATTAAAATTTGCGGTCCAGTTTATTTACGATGGATGTATCCGGTAGAGCGATACATGAAGATCTTTAAAGGGTATACAAATAATCATCATCGTCCAGAAGCTTTGATCATAGAAAGGTACATTAGAAAAGAAGCTATTGAGTTTTGTACAAACTATTTGTCAGAAGCTTACTTTATAAGAATTCTTGAGTCGTCGTGATGGATTTTATGATGGTAGAGGTATTCAAGGTTTAAATGTTAAGACATTTTCCCGAGAAGTTGTTCTTCAAGCATATTTGCATATATTGAATAACCTGGATTGTTCTACCTTGATTATTATGATTAATATGCATGCTTTCTATGAATAATCGGTTGGTTGGAATTGGTGGTATTGTGTTGGGAAATTATAATGAATGGTGAGAAAACCTTAATGGAATCAATGATATGAATTAGTAAGATGACTATGGCTTATTAAATGATATTGGATGACAGTGTTTGTGCAATTAATACCTAGGTGTGTGTCATTAGCACGTAGTTGCCTTTTCGAGAGGTAAGACATTGTATGGAATATGTGATGTTGTTTGTGTAATAAGGTGATATGATCACCTAGTGGTTGTCAAATACAAACACATATTTTCCATATTAAATCACGTAGTCGGAAAGAACTCTTATTTGTGTCATTCCAAGTCATAATACTCTTATAGAGTAAGATTGGGATGAAGGCACCGATGCTTCATATCCAACCAAATGGGTTAAAGTCCCATATGACCAACTAAATGGGTTATAGTCCCATATGATCAACCAAGTGGGTTAAAATACCATAGGTGCAACCAAGTGGGTTAGAGTCCCATAGAGAAGCTTAAAATGCTCATGAAGTCGAAGTATGCTTTAAGGATCCATGACTTGTTCCGATAGTCCTAAACATAGGAGAGGACGAGAAAAGGGTATGCATTGTTTTGGTTTCTGATCTGACCTGATCAGAAGGGGATCGCTGGCTGCCATGCGTCTTCGACTTGCTGCTTGTTCACCGGTGTTGAAGAAGAGGAGGGGGGTGTACTTGCAAGGCACTCTGATGCTAAAGTAAGCATATGGGCAGAGTGATCACAAGTACAGAAAAAGGGTATGAATAGATTACCTGACCCTCTTGTGAAAGAGGGTATTTATAGAGAGACCCCAACGCAGGGCCAACAGTCATTTGAGTTGGGCTGGATGGTCAGGCCCAACCCAAGTGACTGCTAGGGCCTACGTGGCGTAGTGAAGACCAGAATGTGGTCTTCGCCCTAGTTCAACTGTCTCGTGATCTCCGGAAAGTGGGTTTGACCTGCTCTTTCGGAGGTGGGCAGTTGGTTAGTGACGTGTCCCCGCGGAGGGGGGCACGTGGAGAACGTGTGAAGGACACGTTGTCCTGCCCGCAGAGGGACATGTTCTGCTCGACAGGGCAGTGTCTGGTTGACGGTGGAGTCTTGTGCTCGACACAGATAAGGAAGGTTCTGCCCGCGGAGGGACATTACCTGCCCGTCAAGGACTCTGTGCTCAACGGTCGTGGCCCAAGCTGGATTGGACTTGGCAGAATATTATTGGGTTGGGCCTGCCCGGTCAAGCCAGGGCCCAGGCCAGAACAGGAGCCCCCCAAGTCGTAGCTCCGAAGGAGGGAGCGAGGACTTGATGACGTTATGCTAGGGAGGAGAGATTAACCTGAGGAGAAACCCTCCAGCTCGCGTTCTGCGGGGACGTGAGTGCGTGAGTCCTTCCTCGCCGTCGGGTGCCCGGGGTTGAGGATACGTGTTGGCGGGGAGATGTGAGGGGATGCGATTGTCAGCCTTCGCCACGTGTCACGCACTGGGTGGCTTCTAGGGCGGCTACCATAGGGTACTCGAGTGCCTAGCGACGCTTCGAGTCCCGTGCTGGGGTATAAGTAAGCGAGCCCCCGCTCATTCTCCAATTTTCACCTTCTTGCTCTCAATCTCTCTGATTTGCCGTCTCGTTACCGTTTGATATCTCTGTCGCAGCAGCCGTCTCGCACTCCGCCTTAGATCGAAATATAATAAGTTTTTCTTCTCCTTTCTTTTGTTTTTCCCGTTTGTTTTAGGACCGTGGTCGGGGCATGTTGAGTGCCTCGAGGAGAGGTGTGGATCTCCGCCGCTGTAGGCGGGGCTTTCTAGGGTTTTATCGTGAGCGTCCCGAGGAAAAACGCCTATTTCGATGAATGCCCCGGGGACAGATGCTTGCTCCGATGAACGCCCTGGGGAAAGACGCTTATTCTGATGAACGTCCCAGGGAGAGTGTGTAGATTAGATTAGGTAGGTGTCCCGGGGAGACAGTAGGATTTGGATAGAG